TCTTGCCCTTTGTGTTAGTCATTTTGGCAAATTACTGGAAGACGGCGGTTCCCCATATGTTCACTTTATACTCACATGGTTCAGGGAGGGATGGAAGGGAACAAACAAGGATATGTGGACAGATGGACTGACATATAAACAAATGAGTGACAAAATAAGGTAAGCAAAATATAAACAAATACTTAAGTTGGGCAAATGATATTTGGGGGTTCTTTACTCAGGTTGTAACTTTTCCATTGAGTTTGAAATGATTTATATTTCAAAGTTATATGGAAAGAAAGAAAAGGAAAAAAGAAGGCAAATGTAACATAAGAAGAGTCATGACCAGGTATCAGCAGCAGAAATCCAGACTGGAGATGTAGCTCAGTGGTAGAGAGCTTGCCTGTCATGTATGAGGCCCTAAATTCGAGGCCCTAAATTCAAGCCCCAGTACCCCACCATAAAGAAAGGAGAAAAGCAAGAATAAACTCACCCTAGGCACTAACATGAAAAAAAGCAGGTATCAATAAATAGATCAAAAATTGATTTTTCATTAAAATGACAAAACAGGGCCCAGGGATTTAGCTCAATGGCACAGCACTACCTGGCAAGCATGAGATCCTGAATTTAACTCCCAGTACCAAATGAATGAATGAATGAATGAATGAATGAATGAATGAATGAATATGTTAGGAATTCCCTTGCCAGGCAAGTGCTTACTCTACTCAGCTATCTCCCCAGCCGAAAAAAGTAATTCTTAACTTTAAAAAATTACTATTGCTGGGCTGAGGAGACAGCCCAACAGTCTAAACACCTGCCTAAGTAAGTGTAAGGACCCAGGTTTGACCCCTGGTACCACATGCTATGCCAGTGCTAAGACTAGGTATGGTAGCACACACCTGTAATCCCAGCACTATGGGGGAGGGTCACTACGAGTCCAAGCTGTATAGCGAGGCACTAAATCAAATACATAAAAATTTTTTAAAAATAAAATCAAGTTTTAAAAATTACTATTGCTTGCCTTACTCTTTTTCTAAAAAACAAGAAAGCTTAAATCTTCAGTAGCAAAGCTACAATTTAACTATTCATTATGATGAAAAGATAATTGTTTTTCAGTACTGGTATTAAATCCAGAGCCTTTGCATCCTCAGCCCCTTTTTTATGTTTTTCATTTTGAGGTCGGCTCTCATAAAGCTGCCTAGCCTGGGCCTAAATGTGCAATCCTCCAGCCTCAGCTTTTCAAAGTGCTGGGATTACAGGCACGTCAAAATAACTATTTTATATTGAGCCTTCAACTTACTGTGCCATGATTCTTCTGGAACTGAACAATTTCCTGGTCATCTTCAAATGCACTACCCATTACTACCTGTGTAACAGACTTCATGGCAAAACCAAGCATATGCTGACTCAGGGGGACATGCTGGGTCTCCGGGTAGGTGAGCCAATTGTCTAATAATTCTTCTGAAAGCTGAAAGAGAATAGAATACCACAATTATTTATTTTTCCTTTCACTAAATCTTAAAAAAAAAAAAAAAATCAAGTAGATTCATTTCCTATTGTGTGCACTTCAGCTCTGTAACCAAGGTATTTCTGACTCTAGCTAAACCTGTAACTGTATCTTTGATGGTTTAACAAATTATATAAAATCATACAGAATTGTCATCACTCCTTGTTGAAGCCCAGGAAGTTTATTTTTATAATCCATGGATAAGTTATTGGAATCCTGTCAAGTTAATTCCAATCTACCACACCCAGCACAACCCACTGCAACAATAAAGACAATAAGGCATATATGTACTTAAGGGGAGCCAAGGGGGTCCTACTTTCAGCCATGATGACACTATCAAGAACAAAGGCCCTAAAAAAAAAAAAAAAGAACAAAGGCCCTGACCCAAGGCTGAACCTGGGTTTTACTTATCATAAAGGAGTGGCTTGAGGATAAGTGACTGGGACAATGGCGAGAAGTAGGTGAGAGCTGACAGCTTGACTAGGTAGGAGGCCTGAAATCAGCTCTACAATTTGCAGAGAAGGATATGCAGAAACAATAATCTGCATAACACAATTGAGATAGTACCTAAAGCTTCCAGCCCCAGAAGTCATAGCCTGTGTCTCAAGGTTCAGTCCTAGTTGACAGTGTGGAGCATTGGCTCTTGATCTTGTCTGTCTCAGCTCACACAAAGGGTTCTGGGGAACATTCCTGCCATCTTCAAAGGCTACCATATGCACCTCCACTAGACCAATATGCATTGCTTAAAGTCAATTGAGGGGGCTGCGGAGATTGCTCAGTGGAATAAGTGTTTGCCTGGCAAGTGCAAGGTTCTGAGTTCGATTCCTGGTACCACCAAAACAAAAAGTCAATTGAAGGAAAATGTCCTAGCCAGCTCTGTACATATCAATACATGAAAACAGGGTCAGGTTCAGCCAAAATGGAGACAACTGCTCCTTTTTCAAGGAGAGCCACCCAGGTGGTCCTCCACATTCCTCCTTCTTTGCTTTAATCACACTAAAAACAGAAAATAGAAATTTAAAAATGCAAATACAGAAAAACCTTAACAGAAATTAGAGACCAAAATACTAGTGTCTAATTAAAAATAGAAGTTCAATTAATATTGGGTGTGCTCAGAGCAGGTGGCTAAAGAATGGCTTCTCTGCTTATAACACACCCAACACATGTACTCCATACACTTTCACATGGCTTCTGGACAGTACCAATGGGACAAGGCTCTGTAGCATTTAGTGAGGGAGGTGGGCACTGTCCACTGATCCATGGTGATCCATGACAGTTCTAGAAGTAAAGACTCAATTTCTATTTTCAATAAATTAAAAATAATAAAAACAATTCTTCTTTCCAAAAATAAAAACATAAAATAAAAATAGAAATATATATATATTAAATCTTCAAAACCAGAGTAGAGGTTCAAATAAAATAGCAGAGCTTCACCAGACCACCGTATTGTGATATAAACAATAAATAAACATATTAATACAAAAAGTCCTAGACATGCTTCAGTAACATGAACCTCTCAGAATCTCTGTCATTCCTTCTTTCACCAAATATTATTAATTCCTTATGGATTGAAAACAGTATGTAGTAAAGAGATTATGAGCTTTGTAGTGAAAAAAAATCTTGATTTTCCTTCTGGGTCTGTCATGAGGATTTAGGCAACTTACTTAATCTAACCTCAGGTGTCTCAACAGTCAAGTTGGGAAGATACCTTCCACCCTGTGTGGCTGCTGTAATGGGGATAATTATACCTTGTCACATAATGTGGTAATAGCTCACATAGCTAACCCACGTAAACTCCCTACCATGTTAGGAACTCAAGCTCCTTTTTCACGTCAGTTCTATGAAACTTTCATCAGAGTAAAAAACAACTAAAGTTGTATTTCAAGAGAAATAGCACAAACATTCAACATAAAAAGACTGTGTTCTACAGGTTGATGGTGTTACCCATCTATTTAAATGAAAAATCTTTAAGTAAAGTTTATTCTGAAAAGAGAAAAGAAGCCCTAATGATCCCAAAGTATACAAGATAAATAAATAGTGCTGGGTATGGTGATGCATACTTGTAATTGCAGCTGTTCAGGAGGCTGAAACTGGAGGACCAAAAGCTTGAGTCCTGCATGTGTGACTTAGTGAGAGTCTATCTCAAAACATAAAAATAAAAAAGGCCAGTTGTGGTGGCACACACTGCATTACAACTGTAATCCTAGCACTCAGGAGGCTGAGGCGGGAGGAGCTCTCTAAGTTCCAGGTCAGCGTGGGCTTCAAAGTGAGTTCAAGGTCAGTCTGAACTTCAGAGTGAAACCCTGTCTCAAAAAGACAACAACCACCCAAAAAAAAAAAAAGGGTTGGGGATGTAGCGATGTAGCTAGTAGTGAATACTTGCTTAGCACACAGAAGGTCCTAATTTTAGTTCCCAGTACTGAAAAAAGAAAAATGAATGAATGACCTGAGCCAGTACTTCAAAAGAACTTTGAGATTTGGGTGAAGTTGAATAAAATAGAAAAATAGAAATACAGGACCTAACTTAAAAATAACTTTGAGACTATATACCTCAGTGATAGAGTGCTTAACATGCATCAGGCCTCAGTTCAATCTCCTGCGCAAGTCAAAAAAAAAAAAAAAAATTTACTTTTGTGTTATCAACAAAATAATCCCACATATAGTAATCCCCTTACATGCAATTTAGCTAGACTAAAATATTAAAAGGAAAATTACAGAAATAAAGCTCATAAGTTTTAAATTATACACTGTCCTAATGAAATGGCACTACCACATTCTGTCCTACACAGGAAATGTCCTGCAGGTACCACTGCATAGACTATACTTGCCTGCTAGGCATTCAGTACCATCTTGGGTATTAGAATAACCATTTCTTACTGCTGTGTCAAGCAACTCTTACTATTTCTCCTTATTAGTCTCAAAACCCAAGAGCAGTGGTGCAGACAACTCAGCTATGTCTGAAAGAAGCCACAAAGCGCTTCCTTTAGATGAAAACTTAACAAAAAAAGTCATATTCTAAGATTGCTAAGATCTACAATATAATGCAATATTTTGAGAGACAGACTATACCCATATTTTATTACAGTATATTATTACTGTTCCATTTTATTGTTAGCTTTGTTAATCTCTTACTGTTTAATTTATAAATCAACCTTTATGATAGGTTTGTATACATATGAAAAAATGTAATATCCATAGGGCATGGTACTATATGAAGTTTTAAGCATCCAGTGGGGTCTTAGCACATATTCCCCCTGAAGGGAGAACTCTCTTCCTAGGGAATTCACAAATGTGGAAGCCCCCACATGGACGTGAGCTCACAAAAAGGCCTGAGAGACTGAAGCTTTCTTATCTCATAGGCTTCAAGATCCAAACAAAGAGAAGTAAAAGCCAGGGTTGCAAAGAGACTAGATACATAAAAGGAGGCTGCCAACAGAAAGCTCATCTAGAAACACTACTAGAATATTTTTTTTTCCCTTTTCTTCTTGGCGTCAAGGTTTTTACATGAATCTTTCAAAACACTAACTACTGAACTATCAGAGTGAATGGACCTATGGCTGTACATGACACAGAGACTTAAAAAAATAGTTTGGAAAAGGTAATAAACAAGTAAATAATAGTGATTATAATACAACACAATCAATTTCTTTCTTTCTCCTTTTTTTTAATGTATTTAGTACAGGATCCACAGGGTCTCACTACACAGCTCGGACTCATAGTAATCCTCTTTTTTCAGCCTCCCAAGTGGTCACCACGGCCAGTCTCAATTGCTGTCTCAGCACTTCCTGGGGTCAGGGCCAGCACAGCACACCGGAGATTGAACCCCAGCCATTATGCTCTGCCTAAGCAGGCACTTTAGTCTGCTGCACTATCTGGCTGGCCCTAGCACAATCAATTTCAAGAAAGGTGGAGAATATGACATCCAGACTTGCCACATATGTAATATTTATTCATTTTTGAAACAGGGTCTCATTCTAAAGCTTAGGCTGGCGTTGAGCTCACTATATAGCCCAGGATGGCCTCTGTGGCCTTTGTCTAACAAGTGCCCAAATTACAGGCATGCGCTACCACGCCCCTAGCCAACATACATAATATTTAAAGTATCCAGCTTTTGTTGTTTTTTGAGTTTGGTTTTGTTTTTGCTAAAATGGGGATTGAAAACAGGGTTAATCTTTGAGTAACATTTCTAGACCTTTTTATTTTCTTATTTTGTGTCAAGATATTCCTAAAGTTGCCCAAACTGTCCTTAAATGGGGTATCCTCCTACCTCAGCCTCCCTGAGCTGCCACTGTACCCAGATGAAGTATTCAATTAAGACAAAATACTCAATAGTGCCACATGCCTATAATCCCAGCACTTTGGGAGGCTGAGGCAAAAGGATTGAAAATTTGAGTCCAACCTGGGAAATTTATCAACTGAATGAGGCAATTTCTCAAAAAAACCTAAAAAATAGGGATTAGGCCTAGGTCAATGAGAAGGCCCTGCATTCAATCCCATCCATCTGTCTGTCTGTCTCTCTCTCTCTCAGGTATGCAGAGAAAGAAGAATATAGCTAATTTACCAGAAAAAAAAAAAAAAAAAGAGAAAATACACATAAGAAAGTTCAAGTATTGGACTAACAAAAAAAAAATTTTTTTTTTTTTTTTTTTGTGGA